TTTTTTTCACTTATTCGATAGAAAATCTTCCGAAGTACAGCTGACAACTCCGCAATTTTCAGTTTTAAGCATCCAGCGAATCATTTCAAAGGACGCACTAAAAAAACCCTGCTTCTTTTTATGACTTTCTGAAGATTTATTGCGGCTAAACTATCTTGACCTTGAGATCATTCCGTTCGGAATATTGTGCTGAAGAAATTAGAAACTGCGCAACTTTCAGAAAACATGAATTTAGAAGAAAATTTTGGAGGAAACATGCGAAACTGATTTTCTTTCAAAGTCGTTTTTTACTCAAATATAAGAGGAATGATTCTACCAGTCTCATTCTCTGTACATGCTTCAACATTAGAGGTCACTATCATTTATCTCACGTATCTCGTAACCCCACAAATCTCTCTATTTTTCTTCGGGTTTCCCCCGTTTTCCTCTCTTGGTTGGTCCGAGAGAGAAAATATATGCAATTAACGCACGAAAGTTCGAATTTCAAATGATTTATGATTCAAAAATGGCCTCAAACACGTTGAATCATGTCAATATTGATTACGAGGTCACTTCTGTGTAGAAAGACAACCTAGCTTTTCAACTTGCTGGAGCTATATGAAAAGGAAGGACAAAGAAAACGAATGAAGAACGTGAAGAATATGTTATGTCATTTTTGCTACATTTTCCATTGATTAAAAAGAAAGCAGTTTTTCCACTGATTGTTTTTTTGAAGCAAGAGTATTCACTTTTCCTCTTGTCAGCTACCATAGTATGTCAAAAACCACCATTTTTTTTTTGCAAGGCTCCTGAGTCAAAATCATAAACATTTTTGTTGTCCTGTCTCTGGAGTATCGAACCTATGACCTAAACGTCCGGTGCGATTTTGTCGCTTGTCAGGACCGATTATTTATGGGGGAATAGCTTAGTAAGAGAGTCGGCCATTTATTTGCTGAAAATTCAAAGTCCTTAATTTGCCCGGATACTGCTCTTAAGCCCTTTATATGTGTTGCTTCTACGTGCACTAAAGTGATGGTTTTTGAAACCTTTTTAAAAAATTTCTTAAGGCCAAGACAAAATCTTGTAAGAACTCATGGTTTTGATTGTTGATGAAACGTTCGAAAAATTCGTAAATGAACGATTATAGAATATTCGTTCGTTAATTATCGAATAATTGGGCATAACTGAATATTTGATTACTCTAATATTCAGTTATGCCCAATAGGATAAGTGCCTTTTTCGAGATTCGACTGAATAGCTAATCGAATTATTCGAATATGTCACCCAAACATTAATGATCAGTCTCGATTTTATCGGTGATCGCAAGTGTCTGAACGAAACAATACTTGATTATATCGCAAGCATTTGAACGATCAAATAGCAGTCGTATCTCAATTTTTATTTCAACACGAATATTTGAATATCAACGTCGGGAAATATTGAACTGTTCGGAGAATCAAATAAATGCTCTTGAATATCCGAATATCGAATAACCGAGTTGATAATATTCTCTCTCAACCATAGTTTTGATAATTCGTAATGACTCATTATATGTTGTCGTACAATTTTTTAGCATCCGAGTGATTTGATTTGCAATATTTCAGAAACTGGGCTCACGACGTTGTTAGAATGGCTGCGGTAACACCAGCCAGAAAACAACCGAATTTGAAGAAATCACGTCTTATGCATAGCGATGACCCGTTGTCTGATGACGAGGATTCGAATAAGATTCGCTCCTACATTAAACCAAGTGAGTAATGGCTAACCTCACGCTTCGTCATATCTGCTCATACAAG